GCCCGGTGCCCCTGGTCTGCTGGAGACGGTCTCCAGCAGACCAGGGGCACCGGAGCAGCTTACGAACGGGGCTTTCTCGCCCCGACTTCCGGGGAGAGAAAGCTCCGTTCGTAAGTGCGGATCCGACGTAAGTCGGATCCGCGTAAGTCGGGGACTGCCTGTACTGGGCTGTCTACACTGGCCCTTTTCCGGAACAGTGTTCCGGAATAAGGACTTATGCCCGAGTGGGAGCAGAATAGTTTTTCCGGAATAGCGGCTGATTTTGTACAGTAGAGCATCGTTGCTTTTCCGGAAATTCAAGGGCCAGTGTAGACAACGCTCAGCTTATTCCGGAAAAGCGGCTGATTTTCCGGAATAAGTGGCCCAGTGTAGACACAGCCAAGGTGTATCAGTCCTGGGTCTCACTTTATTTATGTCCTAGCTCCCTAAATGCTCATGCTTCAGGTTTTCAGATAGCTACTTAATGGGGTAAAGAAGTGAATATTATGCAAGGTGTTGTTTTTGTTTTAAAAATCTTCATCCAAGCATCAGGAATAGCCAGGGTTGGAAATGGAATATAGGCCAGGAGGGCCAAGACTCTTGAGTCCTTGCTCGCATGCCCAACCACATGTTAGTTAAGGTAAAATTCCCCTTCCCCCCCCCGATCAGGACTTCCTCTGCAGTGAGGGTCACTCACTGGGCTTCTCTGGGTATCTCTCAGTCATTTCCCTGCCATTGTGAGGGTCTCAGGCACAGCTGGTACTTCACAGTCTCTTCTATTGTTTGACTGTGCCACTTAAGAGTTTGGCTTCCTGTAAACTTAGTACTATGGTCTAACTTTGGCTTTAGAATGCTGGTGTTCTGTGATATACAGAAGGTTAGATGAGATTAGTGGTTTTAAAACATTTTTGGTTGAGCCCCCCTTTGTGTCTGTAGTCATTTATGCTCCACAGATATTGCCACCCAGCTCTGAAGGCAGCCCAGGACTAGCAACAATACAGAAATAAGGTTGGTATTGTGAATACGGATTTTTGTTAATGTCACTTTTCAGTTCACAGCAGTCTTAATGTTCCATTGCCACCCTTACCTCTGTGCTATTGCTCCTGCCCCAGGATGCTGGCAGGCTGAGCCTGACTGTCAGCCCCCTGAGGTAGCAGCAAGGTAGGGGGCTGGCATAAGAATGGGGAGGAAGGACAGGTTGACTCCAAATGGCAGGGCTCTGACTTTCCCCTTGATTTCCATCTCTCAGGCTTCTGCAGGAGTGCCAGTTATCAGAAGCTGACAGCCAGAGCTCTTTAAAAGGAAAAAATTCCTTTGACAGGCCTCCCCCTGACTTTGAGAACCCCTAAACTAGAAAATTTAGTGGTCCCTTCTAGCATCAAATTCTGACTAAGGTGAAGTGCTTTCATCTCCCCCAGCAGAAGGGGGGGATTGAACACGAGTCTCCCCCATCCCAAATGAGCAGTGATCCCATATTTTCAGGTTCCAGGTTGCCTGAGCTCTGAGTCAGGCTGGAAGGCAATAAAAGTATGGCAGGAGTGGAGGGGGGAGTCACTTGCAGCTCGCTCTCTCTCAGCATTTACCCAATCTCTCACAAATAAGTCTCGTCCCCTCTCTCTCCACTCAGCATGCAAAAAGGAGGTGTGTGCTGGGCAGTGCGGGCCACACTATCAGCCCAGGGGTGGGCAATAATTTTTAATGGGGGGCTACGCCAAGATTTTGGCAAGTGGTCAAGGGCTGCATTTCTATAGAAGCTGTATGCAGTCCGGGATGGGGGTTGTGTGCAGAAGGGAACTTGAGAGAGGAGATTGGGGTGCAGGAGGATGAGGGGTGTGAGAAGGAGTTTGGGTGAAGGAGGGAGCTATGATCTAGGGCAGGAGTTTGGGGTACATGGTCCAGTAGGGGGTATGGGTACAGGAGAGGATTTTGGCCTGGGGAGGGGCTTTAGGAGGTTTGAAAGGTCTGGGAGGGAGTTGTGACTTGCATGAAGGGGGTGCAGAGGGTTGGGTAGTGACCTGAGGCAAGGGAATGTGATGGGAAGAGATATGGGGGCAGAAGAGGAGTCTGGCCTGTTGGAGGGGTGGGGGTTGTAGGGTATGGGAGGGCATTGTGACCTGGGAGAAGGGGGGAAAGGGATACAGAAGGTGGTACCCTGGGGCAGGTAGTCAAAGGGGAGAGAGGGAGGCATGGAGTACCAGAGGCAGGCTCTGGTTGGAAGGCACCTACTTGTAGAACCCTGAGATAGACTGTCTGTTGCAGACTGCTCGCTGCTCCACATGGCTCCTCTCGGGGCATAAGGGAGGTGGAGAGGTGATGAGGTAGGACAGAGAAAGCCCTGCCAACAGCACGAATTCTCAGTTCCTATTGGCTGGAAACTGAGAGATTGGCAAATGGGAGCTGAGTATTTTTGCTGCAGGGCGGGAATAGCATGAAAAGTCTCCCTCCTCCCTCCCCAGCTGTCTAGATCAGAGAACAGCTGTCTTTTTAAAGTGTGAGCTGTTCTCTACCTAAGGGTTCCGGCAAGACAGCCACAGGCCAGATCCGGTGGCATGGTGGGCTAGATCCGGCCTGTGGGCCGGGGTCTCTCCTTTTGCAAGGGGCGTGGTGCTTCACCCTGTGCTCCACGCAAGGAGTTAAAACATAGACAGATGACTAGGGAGGAGTATAAATATATTGCTCAAACATGCAGGGGTATAATCAAGAAGGACAGAGCGCAATTGGAATTGCAGTTAGCAAGGGATGTGAAAGGTAACAAGAAAGGTTTCTACAGGCATGTTAGCAGTAAGAGGGTGGTCAGGGCAGGTGTGGGATCCTTACTGGATGAGGGAAGTAACCTAGGCTACATCAAGACTTCATCCCTCTGTCGGCAGAGGGATGCAAATCAAGCACTTCGAAAGTGCAAATAAGCCCGGGATTCAAATATCATTTGCACACTCACGTTCTGGCGCTGTGCCGATCATGTGCCATTTTGAAGGTGAAATCTAGCTGCGGTTCTGCCAACAGCGGGGAACTTTTCTGACCGATCCTGTACTCCTGGACACCATCGTGGCTGGCTTTGCTGGGCTGGGATTCCCGAACTGTGGAGGAGTGCTCAATGGAACTCACATCCCTATTCACTCACTACCCCATCAAGCAGCCCAGTACATCAACAGAAAGGGCTACTTCTCCATGGTGCTGCAGGCCCTGGTGGAAAAGTTTACAGACATTAGTGTTGAGTGGTCGGGCCTGGTCACATGATGCCCAGATCTTCAGAAATTCCTACCTGTGCCGCAGGCTTCAGGCTGGAACATTCTTTCTGCAGCGAAACTTTGCTGTTGGGGACTTGGTGATGCCAATCTGCATTGAGGACGATGTGGCGTATCCCCTTATGCCCTGGCTCAGGAAGCCCTACGCTGGCCATCTGGACACAAGCAGGGAACAATTTAACACGCACCTGACATGGATGCGCTTGCAGGTGGAATGCGCCTTTGGCCAGCTGAAGGGGAGGTTTAGGTGCCTGCTCACTCACCTCAACATGGGGTAACGCAATATCCCTGAGGGACTGTCTACACTAGCCATCCTAGTTTGAACTAGGGTGGCTAATGTAGTCATTCGAACTTGCAAATGAAGCCTGGTGTGCGGGTTCGGGGTGCGATCACCCCCTCTTAGCCCGAGAGGGGGGGTCTGCGGACCCTCTTGTCCCCTCTTGGTTCCACATCCACTCTCGGGTCCCCGCTATGGGGTCCCCGATAACGGGTGCAATCACCCCCTCCCGGGAGGAAGGGGGAGATCAGCGAACCCTGCAATAGTTACCCGTCTCTGCGGGATGGGGCGAAAGGCCCCCGGTCTGGAATTTCCCCTCGCGGGGTTGCGCCTTGTGGCTTCCCTTTGTTGAGGTTTCGGGGAGTGGGATGCTCCCTTCAGGGAGGGAGGGGGACCAGGTCCCACCCTCTCTCCGGGTCCCAGCCCGGGGCCCTAAGCGGCGGGGCGTGTTAATGCCCCGGCGCGGTGGACTAGGGGGTCATT